TTTCCGCACTAGTAGAACTGGGACTGTTTCAGTATGCAACGGTCTTTAGTCTACAGCCCATTTTAAGGTTTTCTTGACAAATGGGACGAACTGCATGCGAAAGGAAAAAGCGGAGAAATTGTCACAGCATCTGGGATTCCGGGTTAGTGTCTTTCCGATTGCCGCATATGGCTCGTTTTTTGGTTATAACAAAACTGCAAGACGGTCTTCATATGGGACATGAAATAGGCCTGCTAGAGCAGGCCTACCTCTCTTGGCTCGGCTACCCTCGAGATGCGAAGAAAAATTATGGATCTTGACGCCTTATTCAAGTTGTTCAAAGGAGAAATCGATGTTGACATCGACCAACTTTTTAGAAAATCTGTAACTACGGGCGTAACGCGAGGTCACTGTTTCAAGTTATTGAGAGAAAAAACTCGTTCGAGTATTTATAAAGAGAGTTTTTCGCAGAGAGTTATCTCCTTCTGGAATAGTCTGCCAGCCGAGGTAGTTAATTCGATGTCGTCTAGGTCTTTCAAGGAAAAGACTAGTAGGCTACTCAAAAAGCAGGGCTGGCACTGAGTTAAGGTTCAACTAAAGCTGAAGCTCAAGGACAGTTGCAATTTTTTTGTGTTCTGAGTTCGTTGCATGTTCTGTTGTTGCTGTTGGCTATATGTTGGCTTGCCTTTGCTTTGTGAGCTGTCCTTGGGCTTCCTTTCTCTTTGTTTTTCTTCCACGTATTGTATCTCTTCTGCCCATTTTCTAACCTTAGTTACATCATTCAGTCCTTGTCTAACAATGTGTTCCAAATAGTATAAATTACTATCCTTAGCTATTTTCTCATTAGTATTTAGCTGTGTCTTGAGCGGTTGCTTATTGTCTTACTATACATGTCTTACTATATATTCCCTCAGAATTCTCGCCTGATCCCGTCCCAATGAGATGGACCTTGGTGGGGTTGACGGACGCTACTAGCTGCGTATCCGAAGCGTCAGAACTGTCGGCGACTTTGCAGTGTGGCAGGCCACTGCCTCTCCCACCAGCCAAGGCTTCCAAACCCCCCCCTCGCCCCATATTTAGCGCCTCTTCACTTTCTTTGTTCCATTTTGATGATCTCATCGGTAAGCTATATAATCAGTGTTGTTCTGTTTGCGTTACTAACCGATAATAAATCATAATCATAATCATAACAGTACTTTAGTAGCGAGACTCTTCAAAATAAACTAACATATCCTGTCCCTAAAATGGATGGATAGCTCTCTGGAATTTTGAAATTCCTCAGCTTGAAGTCAAATCTGAATAAAAAACACCGACTAAAATTTCTGAATAAAGTGATCTCTGTCACAGATACTAACTTTAGGTTGTCCGGAAAGTTTTTCGCGTTTTGTGCACCTATTTTTTGTACATTCACTGCTGATTAAAAACTCATTCTGCCTTGCTTCTCAGTAGCACATCCTGTAGAGAATTTCTTGCGCTATCTGATGGTATAATTGCCGTTTCACCATTGCTTGATAAACCCCCTTTTTTCAAGATTTTTTCAAGCATGTGAAAAGAGCACTTCGGACGATTTTTTCTTCGACTATAAATTGGGGCAATCCGCAATCGAAACAGCTCAACAAATTAACCAGGTGTGGGGGCCCAATAGTGCTAGAAAGCACTGTGCGGCAATGGCTCAACAAATTTCGTTCTGGAGATTTCAGCCTTGAAGATGAACCTCATAGCGGTCGACCTAAAGCAATATCTGACGAGGATTTTAGGGGGATTTTGGAGGCTGACCCATCCCAAACAGTTCGAGAGATAGCAGAAGAGCTAGGCCTTGGCAAATCCACTGTTGCAGATGGTCTGGAACGCATTGGGAAGGTGAAAAAACTCGACAATTGGGTGCCCCACAATCGGAGTGACCGGCAGGAATCGGCACGTCTCGAGGTTCCTTCTGCATTGCTTTTGCGCAGCAGAAACGACCTGTTTTTGGACCGAATCGGATTTGTCACCTGTGATCAAATATGCGATCGATGATGTGATAACAGGAGGACGTCGGACGTGGTTGGATCTTCGACGACGCCCACCGAGGTAATTTTCAAAGCCGAACCCTCACGAAAAAAGATTCTGGTCACGGCTTGGTGGTCATCGGCTGGTGTGATCCACTATAACTTTTTATCACCAGGCCAAACCATCACAGCAACCCTACTGTGAAGAAATCGACGAATTGTACCGAAAATTTTGTCAGATGCAGCCAAACACTTATCAAAAGAAAGGGTCCGATTCCTTTGCATGACAACGCCCGCCCACACGTTTCACAAATCACTATCCATAAATTGAACGAATTGGGGGTTGAAGTTCTACCTCAACCGCCATATTCTTCAGACCTTTCGCCAACCGACTATCACCTTTTCTAACATTTTCAGAACTCCCTTGCTGGAAAATACTTCAATCAGGACCAGGCAAAAAAGCCTTAGTGGTTCGTGAATTTTAACACACCAGTTTCTTTCTTTATGCGAGTTCTTCGATGCTTTCACATTGGCAAAAGTGTTGCTGATTCGAATGGTGCCTATTTCGATTAAATCCGATGAGTATTAAAAAAGTTACGATCGTTTAAAGTGAAACACCCAAAACGCTGAGAACTTTCCGGACAACCTAACTAGAATAGGTACCGCCCCTCTGTAACCTCACCATCTGTGCCTCATTCCGCATCCATGCTTTCCTGGCACCGTGCTTACCCAGTCTACTAGAAATCTCACTCCCTTGGTTCAACACGGCTAAGCATTGCAAAGTAGTGTACTGCCAACTTCGGTAAGTTATTGTTCAGTGCAAGCATTAAAAATCGTTCGTCATTTTCTTTCAAAAACTCTCAACATAAACATAGTAATGACATTGACCTCCAGACTTTATTTATTGGTTTACTTTGCATGTTGGGCAAGAAAATGAAGGTGTTAGCAACTCAAGGTGAATATAAAAACAGAAGGACGTTGGAAAAGTAAAGTGCCCAGAAGCAAATTTGAAAGAAACCTGGGTGGTCAATATCAGCCCTTTTCGAATGAGGTGGCCTAATACATACCGTAAACATTCATATGATGAATTAATGGCAAGTACTGACAGATCGCTCCTAGCCAGATAATCATGGCCCACAGTCCTTTGCGAATGTTTCACAATCTACACGACCGTCATGTGCTAGTTGTTGGACAAGAAAATGCTAGAAGTATTGCTACCGCGTAAGTTCTTCCTTTCTTACAAAAGGTGGGTCTCATGCTCAGCTTCCACAGTATGTTGCACTGTACGGGGCCTAACCGCTCTTCCGTTATCTCTAACGGGAGGTGGATCGGGGGTTTTTTGAGAGGTAATTGGCGAAAGAAAGGTCGTTCTCAACGACATTTGTACACAGTGCTCATGGAAAAAGTTGTATACGCGGTCGCGTTCGCCTTGGGTCGGCTGTATGGCTAGGAAGTTTGACTCCAAAACTGTTCAAATTTGGAGGTATTTTCTAGGATATCTATACACGGATTGAAGCACACTGCTGCCCCACCTAATGGGACGGTAATGATATATCAATAATAATTTTTGAAGCAAACTTACAAATAAGGAGAGGAGAACCGTTTCAGAGCTACTTTAGCACCACTTCATCATTCCATGAAACTTACTCTTTCCAGCGTTGGTTTCAAGAACATCACAACCATCGAAGATTTGCGTGTGATGTTCCCGGATTTGGATTGTCTTGATTTCTCTCGTAAGAGTCTCGATGGAACTGTGCTTGCAGTTCGTCGGCAACACTTTCTTCCAATCGAAGGTGAGGTACAATTGCCATTTTCTTGTAGGTAACTTGCAACTTTTACAGCCAAAGTGCGATCTTCTATATGTTCTGGAACATATGTGATAAGACGAGCTCAGAAAATTTCAGCCGTCGTTATGTTGGGCGAGCCAGTCGGATGGGAGTCGGCTCTTCAGTTGTTGATAGACGTTTTGCTCACCAGTGGAAGTAAGGACGAGCTCGATCTCAGCCCTCAAACAACATGTGATGCTTATACCTTTGATTAAGAAATGGTCAACTTCACACGTGGGTTAGCTAACTATCCAGCTCAGATTCCAGTTATAGCCTGCAATGCGGATTTAGTCTGGATGGCTGAAAGATCTGAGTTGCCTCGGTGAAGACCAATTTTCTGCTCATGAGAATTTTATGCAACAATCCATTGGTCTAATTGTTAGATCATAGTGGAGATGTTGATTTCATAGGATTGGACATGGAATTTTCATTCATTGCTTAGAGACCCTGTACGAAAAGCTGACAGGAAGGCGAATGCACTATGAAGCAGTACTGGGGAAACCGACAGAGGTCAGCGATTCTGCTCTTCAAAATATACCACATGGGCGGGGGGTGGGGAGAGAGAGAATCAAAGCTCGCTCAAGGAGAGCGCATGCGAAACTGTATGTTTCGTGTTTGCTGATGCGAGGGGCGTGTCAGGGCTGGCTTTGGCGCGGCGCCAGCCCGCTTGTGTTCGCTCGCCAGCTTCCACAATCGGTGGAGCACGGGTTGGCGGAGCGCCTAACCCCGGCGCCTTGCACGCCTCGGCCCGGCAGGCGATAAGCAAGGCATTTCCATGGATGATGTAGTCATGAGACACTCTGGTTCATTCACGTCACAACTTACAGGCTGGGAAAAACTTGGAAACAGTCAGAAAAACTTATTGGGCTGGAATTCTTTGAAATTGGATAGGAATCGAGTCCATATAGAAAAGCAAACCAAACTCATGGCGTTAGATGGTTTTTTTCTTGTCGGATTTATGCTATCTGTTTATTTTCCACTGTACTGCTGTCGAATAAGAGCTGCGGAACTGTTGAAAACGAGATTTTGTAGCTTGTTCTAGTTTTTTTTATGGTTTTTTCCGCAGCTGTAGCTCTGCATGAGAGAGTGAAGCGTATCCGCTCTTAGGCAAAAAAACTGTTGTATCATGATTGATCTCATGAAGTCGTCCTTTTTCAACTGACCTTTCTTGACAGATTAGTTACTTGCATGCGGCTCACGTAGCTCAGCGTCATGCTAATGAGATGAAGATGGATGCTATCAAGACACTTTATATCATTGGGTACGTTCTTCTCGGATCACACTCAGCTTCGCTCAAATCATATTGACAATCTGCATCGAATATTTAGTGATAACCCTATGTCTGACGTGCTAGGCGCAAAATTGTTCGATCGTTACCTTCGACATGGTGGTCGTGGGCGATTTGACCATGTGGATCTCGACCTTCTGGATCAGGAGGAAAATGATGCCCCCACTATTCGAACCAGGCACGTAGTCGACAGATGCATGTCGATACTAGTGGAGACTGGGGTCTATAAAGGTGAGAGCCGTCAGGATCCATCATGATTTCTCATTATTCCTACTACATATAATCCGCTATGTCCGTGCGTGTGTGTGTGTGTGTGTGTGTGTCCGTCTGTCTGTTTGTCACGAAATTCATAGCGCCGGTCCCAATAGTGATGAGACATTGATTTCAAGAAGTGATGTAGGCGGTGTGACGGGAACACTATTGGTGGGTGACAGGAAGTGATATCAGTTGATAAGATACGATAAGGGGCCTTAGAAGGGGAGGGTGACCGAAATCGTAGCGCAAGTTGCAGCAGCTGCGGGACCGTGATTTCAAGAAGTGATATACACGGCAGGACGGGAACATATTTGGTGGGTGACAGAAGCTGATAACACTTGATAAGATTCGATAAGGGGCCTTAGAAGGGAAGGGTGACCGAATTCGTAGCGCGAGTTGCAGCAGCTGCGGGACCGTGATTTCAAGAAGTGATATACACGGTAGGGTGGTGGCTGACAGGAGCTGATAACATCTGATAAGATCCGATAAGGGACTTTAGACGCGGGTGTCACCAAATTCTTAGCGCAGGTTGCAGCGAACGTGGGACCTTGATTTCGAGACGTGGTATAGGGTAAGGGAAGTGGACATGATTGGTGTGTGACAGAAGCTGATAACATCTGATAAGATTCGATAAGGGGCCTTAGATGCGGAGGGTCACCAACTTGTAGGGCAGGTTGCAGGGTCTGTGGGACCTTGGTTCAAAGAAGTGGTATAGGGGGAGGGGGGGGGAAACCCACTGACGAGTGACACTAAGTGACAGCAACTGATAAGGGTTGAAAGCGTCATCATGATCCGCAACACCGCTTACTGCCATAATGCGATTGATATTCAGGTATCAGGCTCTCAGTAGTTCGTACACAACTCACTCTTATGCTCTTACCGCTATCGACATCATGTACGGCCGCTAAAGCAACTGGAGTTCAGATGCATGACGGTTGTTCACTTGCCATGCAACTGGCTTTATCACCATGACTATGACTATCTTTCATCAACAACCTGAGAGAGGACCATTCGAAGCGTTAAACTGCCCGAATGCGGGAGTGCATTCCAGAAAAAGAAACCTACAGTAGTGGAGAACGCATCAAGCGGTAGGATGCTTCAAAGGCTGCTCTAACAGACTGCTGAATTTTCGTGTGAGGGTTATGGAGATTTTTGGTACTAACTCCGAGAAAAGAATGGACAAAAGGATAGATTTCAGCGCTACATTGGGACAACGGTTACAATTCTACCATATATAATCGGCTATGTCCGTGCGTGTGCGTCTGTCTCTTTGACACGAAATTCATAGCGCCGGTCCCAGTAGCAGCGAGGTATTGCTTACAAGAAGTGACGTAGAGGGTGTGACGGGAACACTATTGGTGGGTGATAGGAAGTGAAGTTGATATCAGTTGATAATATCTGATAAGAGGCCTCAGAATGGAACTCTCACCATATTCGTAATGCGGGTCACAGCATCAGCCAGGTGTTGATTCCAACATATGATTAGGGTATGGGACAGGAACATTATTGGTGGATGACAAGAACTGTCAGCTGCTGATAAGATCGAGATGTTAGAAGGGTATGGTCACTGAGTCCATCACGCGAGTCACAGCAACAGTAGGAGGTTGGTTCCAAGATACGATGTAGGGTTTAGGAAAGGAACACTAGGTTGGTGACAAAAACTGCCAGCATCTGATAAGATTGGATAAGGGGCGTCAGAAAGATAAGGCCACTGTTTCCATACCGTGGGTCGCAGAGTCAGCGTTGGTTCCAGCAGGTGATATAGGGGGTGAAATGGGGTCAGGAACGGTGGGTGACAAAAAGCCATAACAACTGATAGGGACTGATAAGAGGCCTTGCGGTCATCGTTGTTCAAGGTGTTAGAGCTTTCGAAGTACCAAATTCCAAAGTTTTTGTGGAAGGACGACGTGTGGTAAGTAGTGATACCATTTGATTAATTTAATGAAAATAAATTTCGTCACATTTCTTACCACTTTTTAACGATTCCACTGTCAAGTATCTCGGTGAAGTTCTTTCTTTCCTTTCATGTACCAGAATTTCGGAAACTACACAAAGCAAGTCTGTATATCCAACGATTCCTCTCGCCTGATTCAACTTAACCCATTGCTCGAGCTATTTTCAAGTATTTTTCTACATATTGCTGGAAAATGCACTGTGACGGTTAGGCGTATTTTTGCAGCACTCGTTACCTCCCTGAGGGAAGAGTGCTGCCGTGACGAAGAAGGATGAGCACCCGGCGGCAGCCGGGTGATCCGACTGGTCTTTTTATAATGCTTGTTGCTTTCTTGCCCCTTGAGCTTGGGTGCAGCGATTGAGGCTTTGTTTGAAAGTCACCAGTGCTTGCGCACTGTAGAAACGAATGAATGTTGAGTTTTACTTTCCAGCCGCGGTGACTTTGGGGCTACTAGAGGGGGTTTTCCTACGCCAGCATGCCGCACGAGAACTGGCAATGTACTCAACATGGCTAGCGCTGGCTGTGATGAGTCTAACAGTCCGAGTCGTGGTGGCCGTGACTGGTAGGTAACGCTCCACACAAGCGATGACTCTTACTGGTCTCTATGAGGCATACGCTCCACGGGCGCGGCAAAAATGAGTCGTCACGCGCCACGCCGCCGTGCCAAAGGTTGGCGCGGCGGTTCAGACTTTGTTAGACTCATCTGCGTCGTACCACTGCAGTGGCGTTCCAGTAGACGAGGAACGTAGCTGCAGACTGCGTATCAATCGGCGCCTGCCGCTTGTTCTTCCGAGAGAGCGTAGGACAACAGGATGGTTGGCGGCTGTTCACACCAGCCTTTCATCAGTCGGTACAGTCGACACCCGCCGCTAGATTGGAAGAGTCGTAAGAAAAATTAATAAGTCCCAGGCTGTGTGAAATAAGGCGCCACAACTCCCCGCCCCCCCCTCGGGGGTTATGCCATCTGCTTGTTTAGCGCGCCAATCGCAAACTGAGGTCTATTGGCGAAGAGGAAATCTGGAGTCCAGTGCTGCCGTTGTTATCGAGTAGTCACCAGTGAAAAGGTTATGGCTGTCTATAGCACTGGAACTCGTGTGTGGCCCTTAATTTGAACAGTGAGCAATCGATGAAATTCTCAAAACGTAGGTATTTTGATTAAGCTCCGGCGCAGTGGCAGTAATCCCACCCAAACTCGCCAGAAAAAACTAAAAATCTGCTTTCGCCCTTCCCCACACACTTCCATTACGCCGAACAAAAATTGCTGTGAAGCGTTTGAAAATAGAGTCTCCTCGACCTCCTGCTAAATTTTTACAAAAATTCGCCAAAGAGCGCGCTTCATCGCAGCGACGGGAAGCGCTTGCATTGCGCATAAACGAAGCGTTTCAGATAAACATGGTGATTTTGCAGAAGGTTGTCACGTCAACGGTTTGGTACAGCCAGTATCGATGCTGATCGAAGATTTGTCTCCTGGCGAACAACTCGCACTCAAGCAACCCGATTTCGTCGAAAATGATTTCTACTCTGCTATTCAGATGATAATCTCAAGAGAAAGATTTCGTGTTCCAGTGTGAGTCAGTAGACGACTAAGATGTCTTCCTGTAGAGTTCGCATGGCTTGTGTATGAGATTTCATCTGAATCCTGATGGCAGTGATGTTCTGCTTGCTTGGATGGTTGTCTAGTTATTATTTAGATGGTTAATGGTTACTGTCCATATTCATAGGTTGTGATTTCAATAAGCATGTGATCTACTCTTGATGTGTATAGTACATAACTTCATAATCAGTCGGGCGATGTCAGGAGAGGTGGAGTGAGCCCGCCCCTGTTGCCTTTTCAACCAATAGTGATCGGGTGCTGATCGATTCAGAGGGAAACCAATCAGTGGCAATGCGCCGTAAGTGTAGTCGCTCCTTGCCTACTGTGTATGTAACACCACTCCGACTGATTGCGAGTTATCAACCGTATTTATTTCCCGCCTTGCATTTCGTCACTTTTCTGTTCACTTTTATCAGCAATGGTTGTCCTGGTCGTGATATCATTGTGATTACTGTAATGCTCAATACTATCGGTTCGCCTGCTATTCCGCTCCTTAACAGAGCCTATGGAAACTAATATCAAAATGCGAAAACCTCTGACTATTCTGCTCAGAAAACTTAGCATTCGTTAGTCAGACGAGCACGGGAAAGTGATGTTTGTTAAAATGAACCTTTTTACTTGCTTTCAATCTTTAAGCACAAGCATTTGGTTCGAAATACTTCACGAGGATTGCATGAGAGTGGCCGGCTGAGACACTTGACGGCAGCGTCAAACATTAGCTGATGAGTGTATTTATGTCTATCGTGCTGGAAAAGCACGTTTTCTTTGCTCTTTGTGAACTTCGTCACTCACGACTCTTGTAAGACCCCCTGATACAACTTACATATTCTCTCGAATGCAAAAAACGATATCTGTCTCCAGTATCTGTTGAATTAGTAATGGTCTTAAAAACAGCATTATTGAGTTCCAGTCCGAATATCGCTTCCCCGCTTTGGGGCCAGCTTTGTCGAATCTTTAATAAGATCGTAAAGTACACATACATTGCGCTTTTCATACAAGATATTGCATTGTCGTGATCGATCTTGTTCGTTTAATGCAAACATTTCAACTGCTTCCTCGGACTCACAGGCTCTCATCATTTCCGAAATCACGTGAACAAAGTGCTTGTCACTCATTTGCCTTACTCTTTGAGTGCATAAAGCTAATGATCTGCTAACTGGTTACATGTAGTATTGTTAATATCGTTTATCATGGAAATCCTGTTTTCTCTGCTCTCATATGCTCCGTGACTCATGTATGTAGAATGAGTTTAATCCGTTCCTGATCGCTTCTCTACAGGGCACATCGTTGTTGGGGCGCAGAAGAGTGATCGGAGGAGTTATTTGGGTTGAGCCAATTTTTTAAGTGTTTCACAGAACGTTGTGAGGGGGAGAGTCGTATTTTTTGTTCGTTGTTGGGAGGGGTGGGGCGTAATTCGCCTCCGAAGCAGGGAAGGTTGCCTGACCTTTATACCTTTCAGATTGTTCGGCTGTTTCACATGTGCTATTTACTCCACCCCCCCCCCCCCTCTCGACAGGTCCGTGAGGAGGGAATCAGTGGTCGTACCTAAAAAAGGGGGATCGTACGGACTCGAGCGAAATCCCCAAGCTGGTGTGCCATGTGTCTCCATCATTCACTTCTAGTGCTTCTACCATTTCACGTCCCAGAGAGGGCACACATCCCACCCCAACACAGCCTTCCTCAGGGCAACATTTCACTCACTGGTGATACTGCAAATAAAAATGCATAACGAGATTGCGACAGTGAATAAACATAATTTGTAGACCTATATCCACGTGAAAGCGAAATTTCACAAAGGTGAGGCCTTGCGAAGCGATGGCATCCAGAAGCTGCCCAAACGCTGACAAACATCCCTCAATTGTGTACCTGTTGACTGGCTGGGTGATAACACATATTTAATGGGTATCTTGGGGACATATACATACGTTCCTCTACCAAACAAATCCTCATCTTTTTCATTACTTCGTTCTCACTAAAAATGCTTGCTAGGGAAATCCTGATGAATAACAGTCAAAACTCGCTTGAATAGTATAGTGGTGAGCATGAATAGGAGTGTTGGAAGCGCCCTTGATCTGTAACATTTTCTACTTGAATTCATACCAAACTCACAGTTTTTCATACCAATTTCACCACTTCTCATTTCATCATTTCAGGTTTTTCGTTCTTTGTGTACCTCACATAGTGTGCCGTACTTTTGTTTCTATGAAATACACTTTTGAAGACGCAGTCCATTCTGAAAAAATTTGAGTTTGAATGTTTTCACTTGGATTTTGTAGCGATGCAGATTATGTTGTTATTACGACGCTGACATGGTATTCGAGAAGTTCTTTCTCTGGCTGGTGTTTTTCTTGGAAGCGATTCAATCGCAAGCATCCTATCGCGAAGGAGAACTATATGCAAAACTGCTTGAGGAGTACGAACCGCTCGAAAGACCGGTAGCAAATAGTTCCGAACCGGTGGATGTAAAAATGGGTCTCGTATTGCAACAAATTATATCTGTAGTAAGTTTTCACGAACATTCGACCAGAGAGTCATCTTCTTAACAGTTTTCAAAAAGGGTAGTCATGCTGATCTTTTACAAAGTAGCTTTCCTAGCGAATTTTGTAGGTTGTGAATTCGCAGCAAGGGAAGATGCCTGGATGTTACCGGATTTGGAAGTTCTTCCCAAGTGTAGACTTCAAATGGGATCAGGGCTCATCAGCACATAGTTGGGGATTCTGGTCGAGTCCGTGAGACCCCCTCCCTCAAAGGTGGCTTGATGCGGTCCCCCTTACTCCCTCCTTCAATCAGGGCACGCCATCTTTGTGATCATCACAACGGGGGGGGGTCGTATTTGCCCGCGATGGAGGGGGGGGGTCGTAAACGCATGGCCCATGTTGAAGTGGAGAGAGCGGTGATACACGGTACAAGTGAAAAGAAGCTCAAAAGGGACGATGTAGATGACAATAAATAGAACTAGGCACTATCGAACTATTCCTAGGCCAAGAACTAAAAAAAATATTGCTGAAACTTTTTCCTCCTTCTCACAAAAAAAACTTCAAGACACTTCGCCCACCAACCCTCATCTGGTGGTAGATAAATTCCAATCCACTAATGCGCAAAATCTAGAAAAGAGTCCATTGCAAAAGCTCCCTATGAAACCGTAGAAATTGAATCCTGAGCAATTTCCTCACAACAAAATCAAACTCAAGCAAAAGCAAACAATCAAAATAATTCACAATCAAATGGATAAGAAAAAAAACTCACCAGGCCAGCTGGGAACCGGAACTATGGATTACTTTTGAATTTTGGCTGTTCGCGGTCAGCGCGCTGCATGTACAAGCTCATTGGTGCGCGCTATTTTACGGCCTGGTTGTAAGTGAAGCTATCGGAGAGGGGTAAGTGGGAATGAGTAGAGCTAGGTTGGCTCTTGTCACCTGAATTGAGCGATTTTAAAAACGTTCCGATTCCAGAGATTTTCCCCGTTGTGATCATCGTTGTGATCCGTCTGTGATCATTTTTGCGAACCGCGAGTCGCTACGCTTTGGACGTCCATGGCAAGCTTCATACACGGCCTTTCGTAAAAAAAAGAATTGTGCCGGAAGCTTGAAGATTTTCTACTTTCCAGCAAGGCTTTAATTTTCTTCCTAGGCCTGCTATTCGAAAAAATTCCCCGTTGTGATCATTTCGTGACCACCCCCACGACACGAAAAATCAGCCCCTCCGAGGCCATGAAACCTCCAGTTGGCTTGAAGACTGGTATGCTTCTAAAACACATGTTTTCGCAAAGGGTATCAGGAAATAGGCCATTGGGCGCCAATGGCATCACCTGTGCAATGCGCCATGCATGGGGCTTTCACGCAGGTTTTGGAAAGGTGTAACTTCTAGATAGGGCTTCCCAAGTGCAAGCACATGTGCTCCTACGATCAGAAAAGTCCGGGAATGTACTTTCATCTGTTTATTAATCGTCACGTGTGAGTCTTTTGTTTGTTTGTAAATTCATGGTGCCCTTGCGGGCGGTGATCGTAGCTCCTATCATCCCTCGTACGTATTGTCAGTATGCTACACCAGCGCCAGAGTGCTGGACGTGCTTGGGACGTACGTAGGTACTGCGACCTCCCCCCCCCCCCCCGCTCGACAGCAAAATTTTGTAAAAAAAACCAGAAATTTTTTGGGAGAAAAATAGACAAAGTGGTAGGAGGTTGGAAAAATCTAGGGAAGAGGTAACATGGGGAGGGGGTCGTACTTGAAGATGGAATTAGGGGGGTCGTATTTTTCAGGAAATGATCACAACGCAATGGCGTGCCCTGCCTTCAATACTATCGAGCCATCGAGCGGGGGTGGGGGTGGGGAAGGGAACTGGGGAAAACCTGATGAAAACGCAACCCACA